AAAGTTTCATACTGCTGCTGTTGTTTTGTAAAATCATAAGAAAAGAGGGGCATATTTTGCGATACTATTATGGATTCCCTTGTTTTATCATTGATCATTCATACATGCAGGGTTCAAATTAAAATTTAAAAAAAAAATTCAACAGGAAGTATTTTAATGAAATATGTGGAGATAACAAACAGTATTTTAGCTCAAAAGTTCATTAAACATTACAAAATAGGAGCAGAGCAAATACGATCAAATGTGTCAGACTCTGTGATATCTTTTATCTCAAGCTCACCGGGATGTATCGTGTCGACATAAGAATGGAAATAACAATTGTTAATTTACACCACTTCTCGAATATATTGTTGCACAGTACTCTTGAAGTTTCCCCTTCATACTGTTAATATCTTAGTGAGGAGTAAAGAAAGAAGCTTGGTAGAACATTTACTGGAACCCGCAATGTATCTTTGTTTGTAAGGATTTTTCTGAAAAATCACAAAATATGAACAATCTCAATAATTATACCCTTTCGATCCCTCCTTCCAATTTTCTGAAACCCCCCTTTTTTCTGAAAATTTTGTTGATAGGATTTTTGTTCTTCGAAATAAAAACCCGATAGTCATTTTGTGTGGCATCTTATATTAATAAGGCATGTATTGATTTTAATTGTTGAGTCTTATTGAAAATTTTTATGGGCCATCAGCATTCATATACATATGCTGCTTGATTTTTTTGTATTTATTCCTAACGCCCTCGATCGCTTGCAAAATGTTGACTTTTTAACTGAAATGTGCATAGTCGATTTATGATGCAGCGCTAGCATTCTGAGAGCACCAAGAAACAAAAGTTTTGCAAAACTGAAATTGTAATAAATGAAAAAAAAAGAGTTTACTTCTTGATTATGAAATCAAAGAAAACGTATCTACCGTATCCTTGGTTGAAATTGTCTTTACCAAAGATTTTAAACACTATTATGATTGTTTATTATTAGTTATAAAAATTATTTGTCCAACAGCTGAAATAATATATAAAAGATCTACGCACGGATACTCTCGATTCCCGCCAGCTGTATTTTACTTGCACAGTATTACGCTTGGTAATTTTCCTTAAAAAGTTTGAATTTCATAAGTAATTGATTTATAATTCCAAAGCTAGTGTCTCTTAATTAATTACTCTTACTACAACTCTTTTTGATACCAATTTGTACGTTGAAATCAGGCTTTAAAACGTCACTGATTTCAAATACAAAAGGCTATGAATAAATGGCTAATTAATCTTTTAATATAACTTACGTTAAATATTATATATAATATGATATTAATTATATCATATTAATTTTATTAAATCTTTAGGTCACCTGTGTCACTCAGCAGACCTATTCAGTATTGCTGTCTGTTTTCGTCTGTCATCGTACGTCGTCCGTCTAGTGTTAACATTTGAATATTTTCAGCTTCTCTGAAACCTCTGAACCAATTTCAACAATTTTTGCATATAGCATCTATGAGAGAAGGGAATAAAATTGTGAATTGTAAATTTCATAGTCCCTGCCCCACGGGGGGACTGAGGGATAGGGCTAAAAACCACCAAAATTAATGCAATCTTTAAAAATCTTCTTTACTCCTGGACATCATGCAATCAAACTGTTGGCATGATTGTATTAAGCATTAAGTTCTCTGCCAAAATTGTGAATTTCATGGCCCCACGATCGGGGTTCTGGTGCTAGGATGGGGCTATATACATCATATAGTGAAAGTGCATTAATTCTTTGAAATTCTCTGCTCCTAGGTATTATAATAAACTAAGTGCATGGTTATGCAAGGATGCCTCTTCCAAAATTGTGAAATTCATGGCCCCAGGGTCTAGTGAAAGCAGGGGCTCTATTGATTATATAGTGGAAAGCATAATTTTTTTGAATATATTCTTTTCGGCTCCTGGTTATAAAGCATAGAAACTATGTGTATAGTTATGGTGAGCGAAGGTTTTTCTTCCGGAATTGTGAATTTCATGACCCTTGGGTTAGATACTCTGGTGTAAGGGTAGCGCTCTATTGATAATATAGTGAAAATGCATTAATTATGTTGAATAATCCTGTCTGCTCCTTAGTATTGAACAGATAAACAAAGTGCATAGTTATACATGTAATGTACAAGGGTGCTTTTTACAAAATTTTTAAGACTTGTGGTCCCAGGGACAGGGTTTCTGGTGTTTCTCGACAGGGGAGGGGGTTCTATTGATAATATAGTGAAAATGTATCAATTCTTTGAAAATCTTCAACTAAGTTTGTATGTAGTTATGTGGTAGTGTCAGATGCACGGCTTCCTACTAGCTTGGGCTAGTGGGTTAGCCCGACTAGCTCAGTCGGTAGAGAAATGTAACAGAGACATTTATGTGCCTTTGCTGGGGATTGAACCCGGGGCCTCTGGCTTGCCAGTCCAGTGCTCTACCGATTGAGCTAAAGGGTTGACCCACTATCCCAAGCTAGTAGGAAGCCGTGTATCTGACACTACCACATTTATAATGATGAGGGTACCTCTTCCAAATTTGTGAATTTCATATAGGGTAGGGTTGTGTTGAATCTGTAGTGAAAAAGCAATATTTCTTTGAAAATCTTCTCTGCTCCTGGTCATATTGGAGGCAAATAAAGTAAAAGTTTTAATAAGCAATGGTACATTTACAGATTTTTGAACATCTGGACGTTTTTTCAAGAGGGGGGTGTTAAAATATTTGACGTTTTCCATTGCTTTTTATAGTGAAGCTTTATGAGAATAAAGGTTTTTTTTTCCAAAACCTTTTGTAGAACAGCATGGTTAAGGTGACTCCGTTGAGCTTTGTGGCCCATTGGCCTCTTGTTTTTACCTTTTACTTTGTCCAAGTTACTAGCACCTTCGATGTCATGACATACCTGTTGGACACAAGAAGTCTAAAATTAATGTAAAGCATCCAACGTTCCTCTCTTATAAAGTTATGAACAATAAATTTTACACTTTTTCTTAAGTGACCTTAAACGACTGGAGTCAGGGTTGAGTCATGATTACAACACTGCAATCCCATATTGTTTCTATAAGCTTGCAATGTTTTTCCATTACAAGATATTGCCAGGATTGGAATTCACATTTTTCATGGGTCCAAAACACCCTTAAGTCATAAGATCATTCTATGAAGTATGATCCACAAAAAATATGGACCAGCAAATAATATCTATTACTGTCTATGACTGAACTTGCCTAAATACATTAGGAGCATGATTAAAGGTCATCACACACACGATAGTTCACAAGTAATCTTTGTGTCAAAGACCTGCACACAACTGCAGAGACAGACAGATAATACAATTCCTCTATACCAACAATACTTTGTTTGAAAGGGAAGAGGGTGTATAATTTAGCTGGTGCATAAAACAATTATCTATACTATATGAAGACAATTATATCCCTTCATGTTTTCATATATCGTTTATTGATATCTGCATAAGCCTTGAACAATTCTTCACATCAAATAAAAAAAAAAAACAATCAAATTGTTTATAGGTTATTGATTCATAATGCTGTGAAACAATCACTGTTCCTGGAGGACCAATGTTCACGGATTTTGCAGGTCTCCTTTACCTATGAATTTCTATCCCCATGAACAATATATCTCTGTCTTGATGTCACTGAACCCATCACAAACTTACTTCCTTAGGAATGAGTAAAATTTTGGTTACAAACAAACATTGACCCCCTTGAATATTACACAGTAACATGAGAAAAAGAATTGTATTTACAGTTATGCTAAATCACTAGTGCAGCATGAATAAATTATATTTCCTATATACATAATGACTGTACATAATTCCCTACTGATGATCCCTTCAAAAGCATTATTCTTTAAAGAAAGTTTGTCATGCTTTAACATAATCATTCTAATCTTTCTTTGTTCACAAAAAATCACTCTTTTTTTTTAAACAAAATGACAATCAGACATGACATTCAACCTCAATATAGAAATGATAGTTAATTTTAAATGCATATTCATCTTATCTACATTATTGTTACCAATGCCTGAAGACAATTTTAACATGAACCTTAAGACTAATTAGCATTACTTCAAACAAATACAAATATTTATGTAAAATGTACAATATACATACAATGTGTACATGTACAATACACATACAATGTGTACATGTACCACATGAACAGAAGGTGATGCTGGGCCTTAAATGTCAAACACATATTGGTAAATTCTTTGTTGCAATATAATGTCCTTTAGGAAATATTTTATCTGGGAAAATAAACACATACATTGTAAGATTTAAAATTATACATATATTTTTCTGTTTTCGTATTTTCTATTAATTTCTATTCAAACTACAGTCAAACCTTGTTATCTCGAACTGAAAGGGACCGAGAAAAAACTTTGATATATCTGAAGGTTTGAGATATCCAGGGTAAAATACTTAAAGGATAAGAGGTTGGGACTTCCAAATCCTTCCACATATCATTGACATATCAGTGTTTGAGATACTGAAGTTCAACTGCATATGCATCAAATACATAAATGTAGTGCGGAACTCATGTTAAAATCTCCAATATTAACTGAATTTGTTATTAGAATATTATACACTTTTAATCAATAGTACTAATATCAGATTTGTTCAACACAATGAAACAGTGACACCAAATGATGGTACTAGGCAAAATATTTACAAAGACTTAACATCAGAAATATATTAATCTACTAATGTATATTACAGATATATCTATCACCACTTTTTAACATCAATATAACATGATACTCATATATACGCTCATGACCAGAAACTATCGCATACAGTTTTATGTTGGAAATTGGAAATTACAGGAAGTACAGGGCAAATTAAGAAAGCATTCTTTGAAAATTCTCTCTATACACAGTGACTCTCTTTCTTTCTCCCTCTCTGCACACAGCTGATTCTCTCTCCCTATCTCTGTACATGATTCTTTCTCTCTCTCTTCCCCCCCCCCTCTCTCAACCCACCCCCCCCTCCTCTGTATGGAACTGATTCTCTCTCTCTCTCTCTCTCTAGAGCTGATTCTCTCTCTCTCTCTCTCTGTACAGAGCTGATTCTCTCTCTCTCTCTCTCTCTCTCTCTAGACTGATTTATCATGACTCTGGAGTTTCTGCCTTGTCTTGCTGGTTTTCCTTGAAGTCTGGGATTGGGAGCTTGACACTGGGGGATTTGGAATCTTTGGGAGGGACATTTTCAGGTGTGACAGTAGAGACAGGTGATGTCTGGTCATCATCCTCCATTGACGGCCACTTTGAAGGTTGATCTGCTTTGTTTAATCTCTCATTCAGAAGCTTCAGAGCCACATTTCTGAAAAAAGTACAATTTTTATTTTTTGGAAAACATGTTAATTATCCTCATTATTGCTTTTGAAATTTAAATAATTTCATTTATTTATTGATTTATAATTTCCCTTTTATTGTGCATGTACATAGATCTAGGATCTAGAGTATTGAAAATGCATATGGAGTTCCTACTGAGTATTCTACGATACATTGACAAAGTTTCCAGATCTGTATTTTATAGGGTATTGAATGTTGTAGATTTCCAATGGATTTCATAAAGAAAATTTCACAAAATGTAAATATAAATTAATCAATCAAATTAAATCAAGAAAGTTTCACTAACAAAAAATACAATAGTACTTTAAAAGTACAATATTCCATCTAGACACTGTAAGGCATGACTTACTTCCGCCTTTCTGCATCTGTTGGGTCAGTCCCAGGGAGTGTGATGGTGATGGTGGCATTCGAGGATGAGCTTATATCATATTTCCTCTGTGGTTTCTTGCAGACTTTTATTTTCACCAGAGCTAGGAACACAGTGTTGGATACAATAGCTATTATTGGTTGCAGTCGACTGGGGAAAAAGCTGAAAAAAATGTCAATAGTTCACATTAAGCTGAAAAAAATGTCAATAGTTCACATTAAGCTGAAAAAAATGTCAAAAGTTCACATTAATGTCTTGTGTTTTACTTTTATACAGCATGGTCTTCAACCATCATGTCTTAATTGTCCTTTGTTGAATATCATATATATGTTAATACATGTATCATATATATGTTAATACATATATCATATACATGTTAATACATTTCAGCTAGTTCAGGGATACAAAATATCAGCAAGTGATAATCAGATATATGATTCAATGAAGGTACACTACAGTTTAAGGTTTTCAAGCAGATATATTTAAGAAATGAATTTATTTTTTTAAAGATTCATGAGAACATGAACTATGACGCTTCACGCCGGCATATTTCATGAAGCGCGTTAGCGCTTCATGATAAATATGCTGGCGTGAAGTGTTGTAGTTCATGTACATCATGAATTTTCTAAAATTAAATTCATTTCTTATAATTACATTATTTTCTGATGAGTTGCTACAAATTATGTCATTCAACTGTTATTTTTAAAGCAAAAATCAGTTCGCAATATAGTTTTGACGTCAAGTAAAGTATTATGACGTAACAATGGAGATATTCATGATCATCTATGGTAGTTCATGAGAAAATGAATTGTTTTCTATTTTTGTAAAGAATCATAGGGGAAATTCATTGGAATTGTAAATATATATATATATATATATATATATATATATATATATATATATATATATATATATATATATTTATATATATATATATATATATATATATATATATATATATATATGCATGCAAAATAAAAACTAAAACAATACATTATTGTTACAACTACATGTAATTGTAGGTATACAGTCATTAAATTGCACAAAGGTGAAAACATGCGTGTAGTTTGCATTGATCTGTCATGAGGAAGACATCATTTTCCTTTTTTTTGAGTGCCCACAATGGCCACAAATGCTTCCCTCTTTCCTTAAAAATATATTTCTTTCATACTTAAATATAAATACAGAGCCTTTTTTTCTGTTATGACTTTACCTCGCAAAGGAAAACTGGTCAGCCATATCACCACGATTACCATTACTGTGCTTCTGGTAAAACCTCAGATAAATCCAGCTGATCAAAATACCAAAACCAAACATAAATGGATAGGGTCCATCAACCACATTAATTAATCTTAAAGTAACAGTAATAAACATTAACAAAAGTGGAATGTGGGTGTTTCTCAGTGTCCCGAATGGTGAACTAAGCAACTTGTGGTCCGGCATGACCTGCTTTACAGCAACAGAAAATCCAGCAACATATCCTACCATTCCATGTATGTACGTTTCGAAAAGATACTCTTCATTTTTGGTAACTAAGTAAATCCCAATGTAAAGGAAGGAAGACGCAAGAGCCACGCCTGTGTTCACTACTGCTAAAAATATCAGCATGTCCAGAGCACCCCATAGTGGCTCAAGTAGTTTTCCGCATAAAATTAAAACAGCAATGTCTGCCAACACTTCCCAAAAGTGAAATTCAATAAAACTGTGGGTGACAAAAGTCCAAACCCAGAAGTTGGGTGGTAACACATATCCCGGGGTAACCGCTAGATACGGAACAACTGACTTAGCAAATGAAAGAAAATATCCTAAAGTCACTGCAACTGCTACTACCTTAACAACAATAGAACTTTTGCCAAATGACAAATAGATTTCTTGTTTTAGATTCTTGATCATGGGCATCGCCATGTTGACGGAAGTGACGCATCAAATGTTTCGTGGCATATAAGAGTTACATCCCTTCTTGTACGGTGTGCTGGTTGGCGGATCAAAGAATTTTATAAAGGAACACAACCAATTAAAACTATCGATGGACTACTCTGATCGGGAAAAAAAATGTTGCTTCTCCCCATGGAGGTCATGAGAAGGACAGCTGGATTTCGTTCAGGGTTCTAAAAAAGTTGGAATAACTAAAAACATTGTGAAGCAAAGAAATCCTTTGACGTTATTGATTATAGTATAGACACATATAACGTAAATCTATTGGTCTTTCTTTAACCAATCTGGTCGAACCCCTCAATGCATAACCTTATATGAGAGTTGTTTTTTTTTGTCTTGTCATGCAATGTGCTTGCTGTGTCAAATTTGAATCACTGGCGCCTGAAGAGTGGATCGGTAGCCGCCCCCCCCCCCCACTTTAATTAAAAAAAATGTAAGAGCTTATAATTTCTCAAATTTTTCCGGTCAATTACATCTATATGTCGTTCTATGCAAGCAGATTGTACTTTTTCTTACGTTTAGAGAATGGCCCTACAGTACACTATAATAAAAATACACTGTATTTTGAAATTATAATTAAGCTCTTACAATTTTTTTTTACATTAAAAGGGGGGGGGGGGCGCTATCGATCCACACTTCAGGCTCCTGTGAGATAAACAAACTTTCGTATGTCATCTATGTTAGGAAAAAAGAAGGATACTATTGTTGATATTTCTGTGATAAGTTTGGTAAAATTATGAGCCCCCCCCCCCCCCTTAAAAAAAATCAACAGGTGAATTATTATATATTTTTTATATGCATGGTTTTCGGAAGATGAAATTAGCATAATTGATTAGATAGCAAGATTTATAGGTGTGGTAACATGCTTCCGAGGATAAAGAAAAAAAAATGTACGATTCTACTATTCGATAAGAAATATTCTATATATAGAAGCTATAAGATATAGATAAGAGATATAGAAATTGTTTATAATCGTTTCATTGATTTTAAGTCCAATGGAACATTTCGGTTTTCTAAAAACTTCTTTTTATGATAGTTTTGAATTAATGTTATTGAAATTAAAATTTAGAATGATTTACCTGACGTGGCTTATTGTAACGACCGCTGATTTAAAGAGAGAGAGAGAGAGAGAGAGAGAGAGAGAGAGAATTATTTTTCGTAGTGTTCTTTTGACTCATGGTCGATTATTGTTTTATTAAGATTTATTTTATTTATATTGCTTTTACATTCTATAGCCCCATTGATTTAGAATGGATATAATACCGGATACCCGGGGGGGGGGGGGGGGGGAGGGGGGTAGTAGATCATGTTCTTATAACACTTGAGCTATATATGTTTGAATTTCATGTGAAAAGTAAATATATCTACACGTTTTCGTCTACAGAGGTAGACTTAGTACATCTAAATACTAGTAACTTAAGAATTATCATTTTTGAAATAAAAGACATGAATGTTTCTTTTTAAATTGAAGCAGAACATCGGTCATTAAACTAGCACAGAACGCACAGATTTGTTTAATTTTTTTTATGTATATCACAATTATGCAGAATTCTTTCGTTTCTGACTTGAACAGGAGGATCTTTTGAATTAGACAGTAATTGATTTTTTTAGCAGTGGCGGTGCAGTTGAGAGAAATAATTTGGCAAGTTCATCTGTAGCAGGTCAAATTCAGGGGAAAAGTATTTTACATAGTTCATAGAAAGACATATCGTGTAATTGAGCTGTCCTTACAAGAATAATTTACCCTCCTGAATGACTTACATGTAATAAGCCATTCATGATATCCCTGATGTATAATTTGTGACAATTCTACGGCCATAACTAACCTAAGTTTGATGCCTTCTCTGGATTTGTGTCAAGTTCATTAGGAAGCAATGGCCCAAAGAGGAAGGTCGTTGTTACTTTTTCACTCAATTTCACAAATTTTCGATTCACTTTTGCTTCACAATCAAGCCAGAATATTTAGAGAGTTTGATGTAAGAAAAGCCACATGTATATATTTATGCAAGATCAACAGTTCCCAGAGAGAGAGAGAGAGAGAGAGAGAGAGAGAGAGAGAGAGAGATTACATATATATACAATCATCAGGGCACCACATAATGGCGTCGTACTATTTTTTTTTTAGTAGTAATTTAAGTAAGGTTAAATAACCTTCGTTTGAGCAGTGTTTTTTTTTTTATATCAAAAGTTAAGTAAATGAAATGTGGATATCCCGGGTCTATCTAATTATTGCGCTTTTGAGCCCATCTACTTTAGTCCTTTTTGCTTGAATACGCATGCTAGAATTCACGGCAGGGAATTTTGGAAAAGATACCATATCAGTGTCGTATTATCATCTGAAAAATGCATAATAAAAATCTGAAGTTTCGAGTTTTGTTTTCTAACCTGTACAAAAAATACCAGTAGTTTACGCTCTATATAAGACTACAGAGATCAGTTATTTCTAAAATTGATAATAAAACTCAGTTAGCTTTTATTCTCATGTCAGCTCGGAAAGAGAACCTCTGTTGTGAACACGCATTAGCGTCCAAGGCAACCCCCTTTTCATAAACATTGAAATAAAAAAAATGATTTATGGTGTCTACATGGAGGTAAACTTTCTTCAAAGAAACGTAGGATATAATCTAAAATATACAACAGAGGAATCATCTCTGTCCAGGCGTACCGAAAAAAAACTTTAATTGATGGGAAGGAACTCCATCTTTTTCAAATATTAACATTTGGGTATGTGAAAGGTTTCTTAACTTTCCGGAAAGGCCAGAGAAGATGCGATTGCTACAACAAAGTACCAACCTGTAAAATTTTAACTAGCTAGGTGCAAAGAACCACGGATCTATTAACAAAATTGTGCTTTAATTCCATCTAATATGAAAATTACAGTGAACGACAGATTGCTAAATTTCTTAATTAAGACCACTTCTCAAGTCGTGCAGCAACTGTCTTTCTATGAATTCATAATCGATTCAGCAAAACAAAGCAATGGTTAAAAAATCTGCTTATTTATTACAACGGCAAAAGCGCTAGCTCACGCATCTTTTAAAAAAATACTTTTAGTTTGAAAATAAATTAAGGAAGTTTTGATACGAGTTACAATGAATGTGATTCCATCGAGTACGTCATGTGTAAACCAATCAAACTTTCTTCCTATTCACGTGGTTAACTCAACGTAAACCCGGATCGACCGGTACTTTAATAAAACATTAAATTTGAGATGTGTTCAAACTTGCAATCAATGTTCTCACAATACGTTGTATTTCCACTATGGAAGAGTTATACTTCTTAGTGAACTCTTTTGTGAAAAAGTCGGAAAATGTACAAATCTCGCGGGATTACTGGGACAAACATAACATATAAACATGTAAACAATATCTTGAATGTCGATGAACAATTCCTAAAAAAATGCAAATGAAATATTTTATTGTTGTGGACTTTATATACATCAAGAGTAGGAATGACAACGATATCAATTTATATCTATTGTTGATCGTATGTATCTATTTTTCGTATGGTACATCTAAATACAATACATATGCCTCGGAAATGTCGTACTTTTTATTAATGGATGATAAATTTAGGGTTCTCGCTCTCTTACATATGTCTTTTAGTTCTTCTACTCTTAATTGGAATGACAAAAACATTTAACATTTAAAATTGGATTGAGATTGGCATGTTTTGTGTTATCCGCAACGCCATGCTGTCCGACCCAGTCAGACAACCAAACGCGCCTCTAATTTTGAAGAGTTCACTAATGGAAATAAAACGTATTGTTAGCTTACCTGAGCCGAAGGTTCAAGTGAGCTTTTCTGATTAAAGAGTGTCCGCCTCCGCTCGTCTGTCGTCCGTCGTCTGTAAACTTTTCACATTTTCGACTTCTTCTCAAGAACCGCTGGACCAGTTTCAACCTAACTTGCATTGAAGCATCCTTGGGTAAAGAGGACTTAAGTTTGTTCACAGGAAGTGCCATGCCCTCTTTCAAGGGGAGATAATTAAGAATTCGTGAAAATTTGCTGGCATCTTTTAAAAATCTTCTTCTCAAGAACCACTGGGCAAGAAAAGATGAAACCTACATGTATATGAAAGCTTCATTACATACTCTAGATTAAAGTTTGTTCATATCATAACCCCCGGGGGTAGGGCAGGGCCACAAGAATGGGTCGAAGTTTTACATAGGAATATATAGGAAATGTCTTTAAAAATCTTCATCTAAAGAACAGCAAAGCCATGATTAGTCATATTATGATAGAAGGACGAGTATCCTCAGGTAGATTAACTGTAGATTAAAGTTTGTTCCAATCATATGACCCCTATGGGTAGGACAGGCCCACAACTGAGGTCAAATTTTACCATAGGAATATACAGGAAATATCTTTTAAAAAAAGTTTCTTCTCAAGAACAGCCAAGCCATTATTAGTCATATTAATACAAAAGCATCCTACAAGTTTGTTCAAATCATGACCCCTGGGGATAGGGCGGGGCCAAAACAGTGTGTCAAAGTTTTACACAGGAATATATATTAGGTTAATGGTTAAGGGGCATTTGAGTAAAACGCATTGAAGATTTCAAATAGTGGAATGGACTAGACAAATTTTATAAGCTAGCAGAAGAAGTTGGACGTTGGATTAGCAATAAAGAAGTTATGGGTAAGAGGAAAATAAAAGTATAAAAGTTACAAACACCAGTGGCAAGTATCCAAGGGAATTGATGTTAAGTTCTAGATGTAGTAAATCGGAAAAAAAAGATTGAGGCAACTAGTTCTTATCTAACAATGGGAACCTAGGGGAGAAACACGGTGCAAATATTACCTTACCCAGTCCCCATCTCTAGATAAGAGAAAATTTAAGTACTGTGTGATTTACACTCAGACAGAACTGTCTTAAAAATCATTCCAATCTTTAACTTAGACAGAGTAAAAGGAAAACCTGTATATCCTTTGTAAAAACCTATGTTACATAGAAAAAATCTGAAAAAATCTCAGAAACAACTAAGC